CTTTGAGGTTGCTGTGAGCTAGGCTGACACCACAGCACTCTAGCCCGGGCAACAGAGTAAGACTCTGTCTTGAAAAAAAAAAAAAAAGAAACTATGCATGGCATAGAACAAGCACTCTTCCATGTCAGGACATGTGTGTCATGCAACACCATGTCCCTGCCTAACTGTACACGATACATAGCACATGTGTATGTGTATGCCTGTCTACTGACATGTGTACAGACCTGTGCTGTGTGTGAATACATGCAGCTCTTATGTCTAAACACTCAAAATGGGATCCAATTTAAGGTAACCTTTTTTCTATACAACATATGAAAGTATCTTCATATAAATCAATATACATCTGTATCACCATTTTAATGGCTAAAATACCATTCTACTGTACAGATGTACCATACTAGGTACACTGTGCAAATGTGGATCATTTAGATTGTTTTCATAATTATTTTTAGCTGTATTTATGAGCTACCTAGTAGGTATCACAGAAATTCAAAAGCAAGTCAAATAAGGATCAGAAAAACAGCAGTCCACTAGATCAAACCAAGACTATTTTCCACCCCTTTGAATTTTAAGCTAGTGAAGTGGCTTATTTGGCCCACTCAAGTCTAGTTATGATTTAAGTCAGATCATGCAATTCAATACCTGCTCAACATTAAAAACACTGACATCATCATTTGAATACAAATTTTATTTAAGAAAAAGACAACATGATTCTTCCAAGCAAAAAAAAAAAAAAATCAAGAACACCTGTAAAGACTCCAACTCTGCAGATACGTGTGGGCACTACTGTGCTGTCAGCTCCCTGACACACCCGAGGTGGCCCCCGAGGACAGGGACAAGGCATTGCAGGGCTGCAGGGAATCCTCGGGTGAAAATGCACACTATGCATTCATTTTCCAATCTAACTCTCCAGTGAACGCTGGCACGACAGGGCGGGTCCGTGAGGTATGTGGAGGGCCGAACCCCCAAATCACTGGCTGTCGTCACCACGCACGGCCCAGCCATGAGTCTTGACTAGCCAAGCTTGGAAGGACGACTGCGGTTCAGAGCTCCACTGATAACCGGCCTGTCCACGAACTCCACGGCACACGCTGTGGGGTCACTGTCGGCGCAGGGCGAGTTCTCCAGTTCCAGCACTATGACGGTGTTTGGGGCTGAGGTTCTCAGGATGTGTCGTGGCACGAACAAGGTCACCTGGGGGCCCCGTGCTGGCCAATAGCGGCCAAGGTTGAAGCCATTAATCCACACCTGACCCTGGAGAGACAGGAGAGAGAGAGACAACCATCAATCCCAGATGCACCCACAGCCCTGAGGACATGGCAGCCATGACGCAGGGGGCAGCAGTGGCGCGAGCAAGAAATGCCTCCGTGCAGGGTTGTGGGTGGGGAGGAGGCCACCCCGGTCGTGGCTCCAGCATCCTGCTGAGGTGACCGGCCAAGTCAGACAGACGGTGGGTGGAGCAATAACAAACAACCAGTTGCCCCAAACGCCCACTCCTGCATCAGGGAAATACAGGTTTGGTCCCTCTGACTGGCTTCAGTGGCCACAGATGTCAGAACTGGAGAACAATGTGGCCGGTCTGGCCGGGTTCTGAACCTCGTCCTGGGTCCCAGGGGCTGCCTGTCTCCATACGCCAGCCTCTCTCCCTGCCTTCTCTGTACACAGAATTGCTGAAATGCTGCCTCCAGCAGAGGAGTTTTCCTTCTTTGTTCTCGCCTCCTAGAGGCAGGTCTCTTTCGAGAAAGAGTCTCACTCTATAGCCCTGGGTGGAGTGCCGTGGCGTCAGCCTAGCTCACAGCAACCTCAAACTCCTGGGCTCCAGTGATCCTCCTGCCTCAGCCTCCCGAGTAGCTGGGACTATAGGCATGCGCCACCACGCCTGGCTAATTTTTTCTATTTTTTAGTAGAGACGGGGGTCTTGGTCTTGCTCAGGCTGGTCTCGAACTCCTGAGCTCAAGCAATCCTCCCGCCTTGGCCTCCCAGGGTGCTGGGATTTCAGGTGTGAGCCAGCGCACCCAGCCTAGAGGCAGGTCTTGACCACGCCGTACACCCAGTGAACCGGCACTGGGCACACCAGGGCTGCGGCCTGAGAGCAGACAGGCTCCAGGCGCCGTCCCCAAAACAACCGCTCGAGCTGGATATGGGGGCTGAGGAAGGGGAAGGGGCCCACACAGTCGGGTGTCTGTGTTACCGCTGTGCTTTGAGGATGCTCTCAGGCTCCCTCGGAGGGAGGGTGTGGACTGCACGCTTGATTAAGGAGCAGAGGTGCCCCCACATGCTGCAAAGACACTTTCTGTGAGGAGGGGAAGTGGCTTCCTGTGACACGAGTGGAGGAGAAACTCCTGAACAATAGAGACCATGCTCAGATGTGTCTACACACCCTCCCTGCTCAAAGGAGAGGATCAACAGTTGGCTGAACAGATGGGACGTTCTGTTACAAAAAGGAGAGATCACACACATATACAGGGTAGAAGAAATCTGAGATGAAGGAAGGAAGAAGCGAGAAGGAGCTGGGGAAAGAATGGGTAAAGGGGGAGGCTGAGGCGGGCAGACTGCTCAAGGTCAGGAGTTCAAAACCAGCCTGAGCAAGACCCTGTCTCTACTAAAAATAGAAAGAAATTAATTGACCAACTAAAAATATATATACAAAAAAATTAGCCGGCATTGGCGACACATGCCTGTAGTCCCAGCTACTCGGGAGGCTGAGGCAGGAGGATCGCTTGAGCCCAGGAGTTTGAGGTTGCTGTGAGCTAGGCTGACGCCACGGCACTCACTCTAGCCTGGGCAACAAGGTGAGACTCTGTCTCAAAAAAAAAAAAAAAAAAGAATGGGCGAAGGGGTAGGCCCAGTTCTACTGGGAGCCATCCTGGAGGAAGCCCAGCCACGGCCATTACCTGCCGAGCCCTGACCCCACCACGCTCCGCGACACGGCTGCAGGTGCTCACCCTAGAGCTACTCAGTCACCCCTATTATATCCTATTTCCATGATAATTTCAGATATTTTAGTCAAGCTTATGCTTCTATCAATTATAAAAATTAAGAGGTTATTATATCAACTGTAAAAATTCCAGACTAAACACTGGGCCCACTTAGAGCAATGGTGTTGTGAAAGGTCCTCGGACAGCTACTGCTTCAATTTCAATTCTGCCTCCTTTGGGCAAAGCGGCAACCTGGTAAGCAGCTCTTGCAGGATAATTACTCTTGAAATACTGTTTGTAGATGTCATTGACAGTATTGAAGTCATTTATGTCAGCCAGCAAAACAGTTGTTTTTACCACATTAGTGAAGTCACAGCCTGCAGCTTTCAGAATTTCACCTATGTTTTTAAGAGCTTGTTTAGCTTCTTCTTCTACGCCTCCTGACGCAAGCTGTCCACTTGATGGGTCCATGCCTATCTGTCCTGAAATGTAAACGGTCTTGTCGACTAATACAGCTTGACTGTAGGGGCCTATGGCCCCCGGGGCTTTGGCGGTGCTGATCACACTTCTGATCAAGGACGACATGGCTAATCCTCCCCTCTTTCAGCCCCTCGGCGAGAACAAGCCACGACTGCAACCCCGCTCTGAGTCTCAGCTGACTGACTCCTTTTTAGGAGTATTTAAATCAATCAACTATCAATAGCAATAATAGGGAAAACATGACCCACGTCTTCAAAAAGTTTAGAGTTAGTAGGAGGGATAAGTAAGCAGATAGTTTCATGGACACCACAATAAGGGATAGCACAGAATGGCAGCAAAGGACGGGTTCACAACCCAGGCCCAGGCGCTCAGGGACTTTGTCTCACAACGGAGCATAAGAGATTTGGGTGTGTGTGGTTTATGGAGGGGATCCTCTGAGGACAAAAGGAGTGAGGAAAGAGTACAGAGCAGGAGAATTAAGGTAAGTAAGGAGGCCGGGCGCGGTGACTCACACCTGTAATCCTAGCACTCTGGGAGGCCAAGGCTGGAGGATTGCTGAGATCAGGAGTTTGAGACCAGCCTGAGCAAGAGTAAGACTCTGTCTCTATAAAAAATAGAAGATTTAGCTGGGCATGGTGGTGTACATCTATAGTCCCTCCTACCTGGACTTACTTGAGTCCAGGAGTTTGATGTTGCAATGAACTATGATGATGTCTCTGTACTCTAGCCCGGGGCAACAGAGTGAGACTCTTGTCTCAAAAAAAAAAAAATTTATAAAAATAAAAGTAAGCAAGGAGACTAGCTTCAGCTTAAAACAACTATTTATTAATTTATGATTCAGTTGAGTAGTTCTTCTGGCCTGTAACAGACTGCACTGATTTGGACTTGGCTCACTTATGTGTCTGAGGTCAGGTGATAAGTCAGCTCAGTTTGCTAGTTCCAGAAAATCTCACACACATTAATTGTACCATAAAGTTGTACTTACTTACCTTGAGTCAAAGGGGCCAACCAATGGCTGCAGGATGCCACTGAAGAAGAAGGGGAACTAGCGGTGTCGTGGAGAGGTGGTCAAAAGGTGGCCAAAAACAAGAGGGCATCTGTGAGCTGTTAGCACCAACATTCATAGAAGCTGGGGACTGGGCGCACCAGTCCATAGAAGAAATTTGTGCGGCATCAGTTAGGTGAAGAGTGGAAGAAGAGCATTCCAGGTAAAGGAAACAGTATATGCAGATGGCTGGACCTAAGCGATAGCAAGCCCATTCACAGAAACATGGGTGATGGGGATAGGCAATGTGGAGAACCCATGGCTTCAAGGGTACCAAGGAGCTAGACGTGAAGAGTCTTGCATGATTGGGTAGGGAGGATAATGTATCTGAGGTATTAGCCAATATTTCTGTGTTAGTCAGTATAGACTAAATTATGTTACATAACAAACAACACCCACACCTTAGTAGCTTAAAACAAAAATACGTATTTTCCATTCTTGCCACATGTCCTTTGCCAATCAGCTGGGGTCTCAGTTGTACATTGTGTTCACTCTTGGACCCATGCTGACAGAGCAGCTACCATCTGGAACTTTGCTTTCGCAGCTGCCAAAGCAGGCAAAGGGAACGTGGAAAATCACACATTGACTCTTAAACTCCACCTGAAAGTGACACCACACACACACAGTATTTATTTAGCTCTTTTGTTGCAGTCATTTTAAAACCATCACATACCGCACACAGTGCTTGGCTGTACCATAGTATTTGTGATATTTGTCATCCCACTGGGGTCTGAAACCTGGCGAGCATGAATTGAGTCGTAGTCAATCTTTTGTACAAAGCTCCACTGGCAAGCACGGGGGAGGCCATTGTGGCTAAGTGGTTCATTTAGCCTGTGGTTTTAGGCGAGATTGGATTCCTTCGCCTCTTGTGCAGGTTGCCTGGCCTGGTGGTCTCACCAGAGCAGCAGCTGAAAGGGGACCTGTTAACTCTGAACACAGGCTCGCGAAATCCACCGGCGTGAAACCACCCACCAGTCAGAGTTCTATGGAGTGTGCCCATGTTTGGGCACTGCACCCCAAAGCTCTTGTCTGGTCCTCTTTGTTAATCTTTTTGTGAAATCTTTGGATTTACATTTCCAAGCATAGTAGCAGTCCATCCGATTTACTTCAACTTGCTTTTTTTTTTTTTTTTTTTGAGACAGGTCTCACTTTGTTGCCCAGGCTAGAGTGAGTGCCGTGGCGTCAGCCTAGCTCACAGCAACCTCAAACTCCTGGGCTCAAGCATCCTCCTGCCTCAGCCTCCCGAGTAGCTGCACAGAAAGAAAAAGAAAAAAAAAAAACAAAGAAAAAGAAAAAAAAAAAAAAAAAAAGAAAAAAAAGAAACAAAAAGAAAAAAACCCAGGCCACCTGGCGCCACATGGCTGGCTAATTTTTTCCCCTATATATATTAGTGGCCATTAATTTTTCTATTTAGTGAGGAAGACAGGGTCTCAACTCAGGCATGGTTTTGAACTCGCTGACCTCGAGCAAGCTGCCGCCCAGCCCTTGCTTCCCCAGAGTGCTAGGATTGACAGGCGGGACCACCCCAGCACCGCGGCCATGCTCCTTTCTTTTTTTAAGTGAAGATGCCTGGGCTTTTGGCAGAGAGATTGCTCTTGAACAATCAGCAAATTCCCCAGAAACTTAGCTGAAAAGTTCCCTGAGCAGTAAGTTTCTCTGAAAGAAGTGGGCAGAGAGACGATACATGGAATTGTAGTTGAGCAGTCAGACCGGTGACTCTCGGTTTTTCTCTGGAGGGAGCTCTTCCTCGAGGTGACACGGGGCCAAGGAGACATGAGAGTGGGCAGAGAAGTGCTATAGACTGACATCTCGCATGCTAAGAACATCACGACTCCCCAGTGGGCGACTGGGTTCGTCCTGTCGCACTTGTCGTTGCCCGTGATGCCCGTAGACACGCCACATGACATTTGCCAAAGTCCCCAGAGAACAAATGTGGTAAAGTCCTCGAAGAAACGCGAACCCAGAGAAGTTCATTTGTGTGGGTCGAGGAGGTGTGTCGGGCCCCGTGGTCGAATAGAGTGTTTTCATGTTTTGTACCTAAAATCGTGATTATCTAGAACCTAAATGCCAAGTCCTTCCACTAGACAGGATTTTTGCTGTACTAAATATCTATGAGGAAGAACTAGAGGGAAGACAGTTGTTAAATAGAGGGCTAGTTTTATTTTTTTCTTTCCTTCTTTCCTCTTTTCTTGTCTTTCCCCTTCTTTTTCTATTCCTTTATCGCGCAAATGAAGACGTGAGAGTTTTGCTAGTTTTCCTAATTTACAAGCTTCTGTGAACCACCTGCACCAAGGCCTGACGACAGGAAGGCTATTCCATGGAATAACGTCTTCCCAGACCAGACCCCTGTCCCTGAAGTCATTGGCGGATTCTTCTCAGTCCGAAAATTGGCAAGCCTCGTACAGAAGCCCCCTCGGCTAAATTCTGATTGCATCAGGCGGAGACAGGAGGTGGGAGCGATGGAGAAACATATTCAGCAAAACAGTAACCATGTCTGAACTTTTGTTTCTATCTGAGGGACCAGCATTTTGCCTCTTAACAGGCCCGAGGGAGACGCCCCCATCCCAGGCGTTCAAATAGAGAATGCTTTGAGAGCAAGCCAACTCTCACCTCGTGGCATAAAACCGTGCCCATGTCACCATGGTGATAAATACAGTGTGTTAGAAATGCTGAATCACCATACAGCTGGTGTGAACCGACTTTCAGCACTCCCCACTGGGCAACCTTCAACATCCCTCTGGCCCCCAACCTGCTCTTAGTCACAGGAAATTGCCGTGTTCCTGCTCCCGTTTTTATACTGAAAATTGCCCTTTCTTCATTTCAGCGATCCTATCCACTTAAGTCTTGGACGTTTGTACCGCTGAAAGTTCCACAGTTCAATATTTCTTTATGGAATTGTTTTTTTGGGTTTGTTTTTTAGACACGAGCTCCACGTTTGTTGCCCAGGCTCAGAGTGAGTGCCGTGGCATCAGCCTAGCTCACGGAATCCTCCAAACTCCTGGGCTCAAGCGAAGTCTCCTGCCATTCAAAGCCGTCCCGAGATAGCTGGGACTCACAGGCACGCGCGCCCCGATCGTCCAGCGTAATTTTTCTCCTTATAGTTAGCTGGCCCAATTCATTTCTTCTAGATCTATAGTAGAGACAGGGGTCTCGCTCGTGCTCAGGCCTGGTTTTCGAACGGTCCTGATCGAGCAATTCTGACATCTCAGCCTCCCAGAGTGCTCTAGGATTATAGGCGTGAGCCACCGCACGCGCCTACGAAATGATTTTAATTTCGATATGCCCAGCAAATCTTATACCTGCATCCTTTTTAAATCCCAGGAACCATCTTTGCGATTGGACTCATCATGGTCAGAGCTATTAGTGGACTGCCCAGAAGTACACATGGCGGAGGCATGTGGAGGAGTCAGACTGGTACCCATCTATCACCATCTTCTTCGATCTTACTTCGTAGGAGTTTATATCTTTTGAAGATATGCATGTCTATTTTATTGTTCCATGCTTAGAGAAAATATTAAGTTACTACTAAGAGTTTCGCGGTTTGGTCCACGTTCCTCGTCTCCGTAGACCCGTCACCCATTCACGAGGTTTAAATCTTGTTAATTTCTTTACTCATAAGAAAATCTGAGATCTGACATGGAGATAAATATTGATCACATCATTCATCTCGATTAACGTGTGCTTTTTTGATTATTCTCAGAAACAATAGCTCACTTTCCTACCCTTTCATTTGGAACTCATGTAAGAAGTAAGTCGTCTTTCCTACATTCTCATGCATGGGGGTATAGCATTTAAAGCTGTAATTGTACAACACCAGCAACTGGATGCATTTATCTAATCTTCATTCCATGTTCAACACTAGATTTATATGACCTGCAGAACATCTTGTTTTAAACAGCTTTTTTTGAGGTGTAGTTTACACTTACCATAAAACTAACCTGTACTGAGCTATAGTTCCGTGAGCTTTACGAAGTATATACAGTTGTGTGTCTGTCACCATGATTCAGTTGTAGAGCACATCCTTCACCCCAGAAAGTTCCATCGTGCCTGTTTGCAGTCGATCTTCACTCCCATCCCCATGCCAGGCAATGACTAATCTTTCCATTGCTCTGCC